GTGGAGCTGCAGTGACATTAGTGAGCCCCTGCTTGTTTCCCTGGGCTGCCTCCTTGCTGCTGCTGTCCCCAGGAGTGTGTGGGGACGTCCCTTTGTTGTGACCTCCCCCTTCTCCGCTCCCAGGTGTGAGATCTGTGGGTTCACCTGCCGGCAGAAGGCGTCCCTCAACTGGCACATGAAGAAGCACGACGCGGACTCCTTCTACCAGTTCTCCTGCAATATTTGCGGCAAGAAGTTCGAGAAGAAGGACAGCGTCGTGGCCCACAAAGCCAAGAGCCACCCCGAAGTGCTCATAGCCGAAGCGCTGGCTGCCAACGCGGGTGCCCTGATCACCAGCACCGACATCCTGGGCACCAATCCCGAGGCCATCGCGCCGCCCACCGACGGCCAGGGCCTCCCGCTGCTCCCGGACCCCCTGGGCAGTGCCCCCCCAGCAGATTGCCTGCTGCTGAGCCCCGAGGGGATGCCGAAGCCCTACTGTGGCGGGGCAGAGCGCGTGAGCCTGGTGGCCGACGGCAAACTCTTCGTGGGCAGCGGCAGCAGCGCGAACCCGGAGGGGCTGGTCATGAACACGGAGATCCTGGGAGCCAGCACGGAGGTGCTCATCGAAGATTCAGACTCCACTGGTGGACCCTAGTGGCAGGGGGAGCACCTGGGTGCTGGGACAGTTGGGACTCTGTATTTAAAAGGAAAAAAAAAAAAGAAAAAAAAAAAAAGAGGAGGCACTTACTGAGAGGAAAGTTAAACAAAACTTACAATACTAGTAAATAACTGAAGGGTCTGCTCCCCTCCAGCGCGGATCACAGCACATCCTCTTTCTCCCAACCACTTCTCTCTCTCCCACGGCCCCTTTGTGGAAAGGGGCACGTGCTGCCATTACCAGAGCAAGTTGGACTGAGCGACGGATTTCTCCAAGGGAGGGGGCACTGCCGAAACCCTTCGCTCTACCCCAAAGCAGATGCCTTTCTGGCTCCTTGACGTGGCCCCACTGGCAAACTAAAAAAAAAAAAAAAAAAAAAAGCAAAGCGTTGGACGTGCTCTGGAGAAGTTTCTTAGGACTCCCTCTGCCCCTGGTCCCGACTTCTATGCACCGCTGCACTCTGGTCCTTGCAGTGTCCTCCTTCCTCCCGGGGCTGGGAGTTTGGCACTTTAGCCCCTCGGCAGGGTGAGCTGTGAAGCAGAGCACGTCCCGCTCCCACCCACCGCGCTCCCCTGCTCCAGCCCTGGCAGGAAGTGGAGGGAACGCCCTGGCTCGTAGATCATGTTTGCTCGGAGAGGCCCGGGGGCTACAGGAGCCCTGCGTGGGAGAGGCAAGGAGGAGCATCCCAGTTTGACGACAGTAATTTGCACTTTGAACATGCTTCGTTTTTGTGTTGTGGTAACAAGATTCCTTATTTATTGATTAAAAAAGGGTCGGTATTTTTTAGTTCTGTTCTTAGGGGGCGGGCGTGGAAGGGGTTCAGGCTGTTTCCCAGTAGGCTCCGGTGCAGGGAGCACGGTGTGCCACTGTAACAGCGGCTGGGAGAGCGGCTGGGCAGCGCTCTGGAGTCAGATGTGTCTCGCAGCTTTTCCAGAGTAGAGGAGGGAGAGCCCCTGGAGAAGAGCCCTGTGTGCAGTGGGAGTCTCTGCAGCAGCGTGTTAGCAGGAGGATGAGGTGAGTGATGGAACAGCTGGCTGTCGTCTCCCTCCCTCCCGGCTCCGGGTGAGCTCCTTGCGTTAAATGCTCTGCAGCCTTTCGGGGAAGGATGTTGTTGGCCAGGAACTTGTTCTCGTGGCCTGGGACAGTCGTGAGCTGCTTGCTGCTGGGGGGATGTGGTGCTCCTCATCCGACTCTGCCTCTCCTTTCCAGGTCTAGACAAAGGCACAGGGAGCAGGGACTGGATATGGTTTTCTCAGGCTTGTTTATCCAAGGCAATAGATTGACGTGGGACTAAGGGGCTGTCAGCTTCTCTCCCTGCCCCCGTTGTGGGGGAGGGTGTTGTGTAGCCGTGTTCTCAAAGGTTCTCTTTTCTGCACAGACACCCCTGCTGTCCCTGAAATGTGGCAGGCCAGGTGTTGCCTGCCGGTGTAGTTAGGGCAGCTCTGAGCCCTTGGAAAAGTTTACATAGGATAAGAGGTGTCTGCTATGGAGACTTGGATTTTTTTTTTTGCTCTTCTCTGAGACTTTGTGTGGAGATTCAGTGGCCTTGAATTCGTAGTGGTTTTGGAAGAGGTGAAGAATAACCTGGCTTTTTGTTTGTTTGCTTGTTTTTTTTTTTTTTGGTTGGGTTTCTGTGGTTGGGAGCAGAGCTGAAGTGTCTCGTCCGAGCACAAGATCAGCTGAGTTAGTCTGTAGCACACAGCAGCTTGGCAAAACCGGGTACCTGGGGTCTAGGAAACCGCAATAAAACATGGAATTTAATCGGAAACTTAACAGGAAACTGACTCTGAACACCCGCTCTGTCCCCTGTGCTGCCTGGAAATCCAGCTGTGGCCCAAACACGGTGGCTTTTGTTGGGCCGTTTGTCCCGGTTTGCCCCCTCCCTTCCCTCCTTACACGGATACCTTTGTCAGAGCAAGTCGAAACACTTCTGGCGTTGGGGCGGATCGTGGCGGAGCAGCTGGGTGCCCTGTGCCCTGGGCGTGGGCATCCCACGTGCTCAGCGTGGCAGCAGCCTGGCTCCCAGGCCTGCCACGGGGTGAGGGCCCAGCACACCTGGTGGTGGGTCCTCTGGGACAGTGCACAGGCAGGTCGGCGGTGCAGTGGTGTTTAAACTAAACCAGTTCCTTCAGTTGGGGTGGTCCAGTTTCTCGCTTGGATCACGTTACTGTGATTTCCAGCTGGAGCTGCTTCTCTGCCAGCCCCTGTGCCCGTGGGAGGTGCGGGGCGGGCAGAGCCTTGCACAGAACACTAAGTTGGAGAGCCCGGGGATTACTGGTCAAGGGATGGCACTAAAATGCCTTTGGGTCAAAGGCTTGCTTGCCTCTGACTCAGTGCTTGGCACCTGGCTGGGAGCTGAGGGAGGTGGCCTGGTCCTGCAGCCGCCCCGAGCGGAGCAGACTTTGCCACCGGACACGTTTCTGGGATGCAAAATCAAACATCTCCTTTGCTTCCCGGCCGGGACACCTGATCCTGCCGCTCCCCGCCTCGTCCTTCCATGACACCTCTCGTAGCTCTCCCTTTTCTTTTTCTGGCCCTGGCCAGGTGTCTGTCTGTCCTCTAACCACAGCCTGCTCACCCCTGACGCAGGAGAGATGTGTAGCTCCCTTCCCACGCCCCTTTGAAGCCCTAAAACTGACACAGCCCTCCTGCAGCTCCTCCTCCCCTCGATGTCTCTCCTTCACTCGCATGCAGTTTGCTTCAATAAATTATTGTAGTAGTTTGCAATAAACTTTTTTGTATTTTTTTTTTCCCCTGTATTTATTTTTTTTTTCTCCTCCCGGGGGAGGGGTTGGAGGGGACACAGGGCCCTTCGACCACTCTCGGGGCTGTACCCGACACGGGCAGCACTTTGGGGGTCAAGGGCTGCCGGGGCCAGGGGCTCCCAAAGCTCAGCAGCACTTTCTGCAGTAGCCAGGGGGTGACAAAGAGGCTGCTGGGGGTATGGGGCCCCCCGACCAGGCACGCTGTGGTACTTGTGGGAAGCTGCTTTTCAACTCCTGGGGTTTTTTTCCCCTCTTAATCTGGGTAATACGTAACCAAAATAAACATACTGAGGAAAAACCAACCCAACCCAGTGGGCTGTTTTTGTCTTGGTGCATGCAGCTCATCTGTGGGCTGGCTGGTGTTGTCCTGGGGCGGCTCTACCCCATCCAGCTTGGGGGGGTGAGTGAGTGGCTGCTGGTGGCCAGCTGCCAGCTGGGTTTGAATCATGACCCTGGGCCAGTTTTAGGGGCTCAGAACCAGACTTATTTTTTGGGCTCCCAAAGAGAGACTCAGGGCCATGTTTGGGGGGCTCAAAATGGGGCTCAGAGCTTAAAAACTGAGACTAAATGCTTCATTTTGCAGTCCTGCTTAGAAACAGCCATTAAATCCTGCTTTCAGGGCTTGAGGCAGGGAGCGTGTCCCGTGTCTTTGGGCTCACAAAGAGAGACCAAGTGACGCATTTTAAGGCCTCAAAAACCAGTGACTAAGTCCTGTGTTTTGGGGCCCTGAAACCAGGCTCACTCAGCCAGTGCTTGGGCTCACAGAGAGAGACCAAGTCCTGCACTTTGGGGGCTTTAAGGCAGAGACCGAGTCCTGTGGAGTGACCAGTACTGAAGGTGAGAAATGGAGACTGAGTCCTGCTGGCCTTACGTGGCCCCATTTAGGGCTGAGAAGCAGTGACTGACTGAGTCCTGCGTTTTGGGGGCTTGAGGAGAGACCATGTCGTGTCCTGCAGCCCCTCTTTGGGGAAGGTGTCTCTCTCTGGGAAAGGGGGGTTAAACCTGGGGGACCAGTCCCATGGCTGTGGGGCAGTAAGAGGGCTGGAGGTGGCTGGAACAGACCCTTCTGCCAGGGTTTGGGTTGCAGCTCAGCTTCTGGCTGGTGCTGGACCTCCAGCCTTGGGGGGGGTCCCCTCAAGCCTCCACTCCTGGCCCTGCTCAGCCCCCGCCGCCTGCCCGGGCTGAGGTGTTGAGCAATGTCCGGGCTTTGCTCGCCTCTTCCCAGCAGTGGTTTCCCGCTCTCTGGCATGAGCCAGAGGGATTAACGTGCCGCTAATCCCACTGTGTGGCCGGGAGGGAGGAGTGGGTCAGCCGGGGCTGGGAGCCTGTTGCTGCCGGGCGAGACGGTTCTGGGCAAAGCACTTGGAGTGGAGATGCGTGGGGGAATCGGGGGAATAATCTGTCGCTGTTGATCCCAGAGGCGGGAATTTGCAGCGTGGTGCCAGGCCCCAGGCACGGAAGAGGGGGAGAGCCGGGCCAGCGGACGTGTGAGCGGAGCTCCCGGCTGGAATGCACCAACTCAGCAAGGGATTGTCCTGCCCGGGCCGGGCGGGCGCTGCGCCCTGAGCCTGGTGGCCGCAACAGCTGCCCGGACCATGGCGGGAGCAGACAGTCCCTCGGCCGCCCTCCGGCGCCGCGACCTGTGTGCCCGCGGCATCCGCCTGGCCGGGAAGATGCGCTCGGACGTCGTCGACCTCCTGGACGCCTACGTGAGTCTACCCTGCTCCTTCTGGCTGCTGCGGGGCTGGGAGCGCTGGTGGGGTCTGGGGGGGCTCCTGGCAGCTGTGGGGCGCGAGGAACCTGTCCCGTGGCGGGGATGGGGGACGAAGCGCTGCCGGTTTCTGTGCCTGCCGATGCCTGGGCGGACCTCGGGCACCCGGCCTCGCACTGCCACAAACCCCTCCTGGACTGGGCCCTCCGGAGCAGCGCCGGCGTGGCTCGGGGCGGGGGGTACCCCCCAAATTGCTCCCGCCACCGCTGATCCCCGGTGGGTCTCGCCCCGCAGGTGGAGCAGCAGGGCCTGGACGCCTCGGCCAGCGTGGCGGCGGTGGAGGGGGTGCCGCCGGCGGCGGTGGAGCGCTGGGACGAGCAGACGGGGACCCAGCGGCTGCTGGAGAACCTGGCGGCGTACAGGGCCTTCCGCGGGCTGCTGGCGCAGATGCTGGAGGAGCAGCGGGAGCAGCTGGGTGAGGCCGACGCCGCCCTGGGCCGGGCGCTGGCGGCCGTGCTGCTCCAGGTCTCGGCCTTCGCCTACCACCTCGAGGAGCTGCTGCGGCTGGAGAGCCGCGGGCCCCCGAGCGACGAGGGGGACGGGCCGCCCCCCCAGCCCCAAAGCGTCTTCGAGCAGAAGCTGCGGGGCCTGGGGGTGCTGCGGGAGCTGGCCCAGTGGGCCGTGAGGTCTGCGCGGGACCTGCGGCAGCTCGCCAAGCCCGGCCCGGGCGCTGGCTCGGCCCCCAGCCCGGCCGAGAGCCCGTGAAGGCGAGCGCGGGGCGGGGGGTCTGGGGTGCCACTGGGGCACAGTGGGGGGCAGCTGACAGCGAAGGAGGGCAGGTGGATGGGACGGACCGGGTCATTAACCCCTGGGCCCCCCGTGCATTTGGTGCCACTCCCTGTGGGGAAGCTGAGGCGCAGGCCGTGGTGTACCCCGGAGGGAGCGGGGATCCCCAGGCAGGACGATCCTCAGTGGTCCTGGGGCTGGCAGTTGGAACTATCCCCTGGGAAGCGGCTTTGCTGCTCACCCCAGGGCCTGGAGGCCGTGACCCTCAGCTGGGGTCCTTTTCTTTGGAATTTGGTCGCTGCCTGGTTCGCTGTGGCCACCCTGGGGGCTCTTGTGGATGCGAGGCAGGAGCCAAGGGACAGCAAAGTGTCACCTGGCCAAAGGAGTCTCGGGACCTGCCCCGCAGCTGCAAGGAGCAAGGCTTTGCCTCCTGCACGTGGACTCTTCTGCCCAGCTTGTGTTGGCTGCTCATTGGCTTTCTGCTCTAACTGCTTGGGGGCTTTTTGGGGAGGGGGGGGGAAGTGGGAGTATGATCAGGAGGGGATTTCTTAACCTCTTGGACATGGTAACGGAGAGGATCTTTTCACCGAAGGCTGCGATTCAGAAGCCCCTCTGCAAGGAGGTTAGTGCCTCCAGGGGTTATCTTAGGACTGGAAATGGCACGGAGAATCAAACAGCCCCAACCACAGCGCTCACCCTGTGGAGTGCTGCAGTTCCACAGCTACCTGAGCCGTGGTTCTCGTGCCGACTGGATATGAGGGCTGCTGGCTGCTGAGTGAATAAAAGGGCTGGGAGGTCTACCAGGGTGAGGTACTTCTTGGGGGAGGTGGGACAGTGGGGCTCAACCTCACAGGAGAGCCTGGGCTGCCCTGTGCACACACCAGGGAAGGGTCAGTCCCGGCGGGGTGAGAGGTCTGGGAGGGACGGGACCCACTGGGAGGCCGTGGAGAAGATGAAGGAGCTGGGGGTGAAGGACGTGGTGGTGGGAGGATGAGGAGGAGGTGGGGGGATTGCTGGGGTTGTGCCTTGTCCTGGTGCGGCCCTGCCTTCTACCCTGGCCTGTGAGAGGAAAGGCAACATGGGGGGAGAGCGGGGCCAGGGCGTGGGGAGGAGGCTGGGGACGTGCCCGGCTGGCCCCGCACAAAGCGGCTTTGTCAGGGCAGGGGGGGACGGCACCGGGCACAGTGCTGGCACCGGGGCCCTGGTACAGCACCAAGGCAGAGCCCCCAGAGCCCATCCTGCCCACCCCTCTGGCAACATCAGGGCACCCGGCGCCGCGGGGTCGGGTCCGAGGGCGGTTTGGTGCTGCCTCTTTGCTTATGGGTGGTGCCCACGAGGAAGAATGTGCCCCTTCTTCACTGCCACTGACTGACTGCCTGCCCTCAGCTTTGCGGCTCAGACTGGATTATTGGGATGTTTCTGCTTCCCTGCACTCAGGAATAACAATTTCTGGCCACTATTTTTTTCAGGGTTAGTGAAAGCGAGTCCCTTTTCCAACAGGTATTTTTCTCGCCCGGTGTCCTCTGCTTTGTGCACTCGGAGCCATCTTGCTTTTGCCCCCTTGCACTCTCCTGCTCAGCAGTGCTCACACCTTCCCCACCCACTGCCCCTCACCTTCCCAGAGGTGGGCAGAGGCATCTCGAGTGAACCTTGTGACACGAGCAGGTGGGAACAGACCCCTTTTCTCCCTCAGCAGCCATGGCTGGGTCCGAGGTGACCTTCAGATCCCGGGAGAGCTGGGATCACCCAGCCCTGGCTTGCAACTCGATCCTTCCCCCTCAGCTGCTGGCACTGAGCTGAGCTCGATCCTTCCCCCTCAGCTGCTGGCACTGAGCTGAGCTCGGCGCTGCAGTCGCTCTCTGGGGGTGGAAGCAGCAACAGGGACGATGATGTTGCTCCAGGGACTTCCCCGTCCTGGGAAACACCGCTTTTACAACCTTCCTTGCTCCTGCCCTGTTACCTGGGCAGCGTTGCTGGGTGTGTCTGTGTTTGTGGAGCAGCCGCAGCGCTCGGGAATGGCCACCAGAAACAATGGGAAAAAGCAATCCATAATCCAAACCTCCACGCTCTGGCTGAGCGAGAGGCTCCAGCTCTCGGCCTTTCCCTGCCAGCCAGCCCCCAACGTGCCGTAGAGAGTCTGAGCTGGATGGGATTTAATGCTGTTTTTCAGCTGCAGCCCCCAGGGAATCACCAGTGAAGTGATTTGGCGAGAACAGGGGCACCCGACAGCTGAGCTCCCTTAGTGCCAGGAGGCCCTTTGGACTTGCTTTGCCACAGGCTGAAAAGAAGTTGATCTGGGTGGCTGGAGGTGACTGAAGCTGTTTATTTTGGAAACAGAAATGAAGAGTTTGAGAGGAAGATAATCATACCCGTGTGGCTAATGCTGCTGAGGACCCCATGCAGTGGCCTCCTGCAAACTGAGGACCCACCAAAACCATCCAGGATCGTGCTTTGGGAAGAGAGAAAGGTTCTGCAGTGCTGGTGGGAAGGGGGAAGGGGGGCAGAGGGCTGCGCTCCCAAATTGCAGCAGGGAAGGAGCCACCACAAGCAACCCGTGGATGTGTTTAATTTCAAAACAATAAATATTTGGGCTTAACGTGTGGTTGGGCACACTTTGTGGGGTTGGAAAGGTTTCAAGCCGACCGAGGCTGCTCCCTGACCTCAGGCATACCCACTTGGGTGCTGGCATCGGTGCCGGGTGAGAATGGATTTGCCCCTTGCCCACCACGCCCTGGAGGCCGGTGGGGTTCAGTTGTGCAGCTCTGGCTCCTGGCTCCCTGATCCTGAGCCGCAGCCAGGGGGGGTGGATGTTCACCAACACTTTCCTTTTTAATAGCAGGAAAACCTTTTCCTCCCGCCTGAGTCAGCGGAAAGGATTTCCCCGGGTTTCCCCGCCGCGGCTTTGGCTGCGCTTGTCTCGCCCGAAGGAACAGGTGAAAATGCAGAGGAGGGGCTCCCCTTCCCAGGAAGGGCCGGGAGCCCTCCCTCCCTTCTTGCAGGAGAAGGTGCCCCAAGCGTAGCCCTGCACGAGCTGGGAGAAGGAGAACCCGTGCGGTTCACCTCGTCCTGCCCCAGCGCAGCGCTCGCCAGCTGGCACCGCCGCAGCTGGTCCCCACCTGTTTCTTCCTCACTTTCTTCCTTCATTTTTTTCCCCTCTGTTTGGATCTTGTCTAATGGTTTCTCACCACAAGCGCCGCTGGCGGACGCTCAGCAGGACGGGCAGTGCCTGGGAAACAGGTTTGCCAGGAGAGGAGCCGCACCAGCCCCGAGAGCTCGGCAGTGTCCCGTGGCCTGGGGATGAGCTGCCCTCCGAGCCAAGGGGGACCGTGGACTGGGGGATTTGCTGTGCAACCTGTGCACGTGGAACACACAGATGCGGTTTGTACAGTTCTCCCGAACCAGGAAATGATGGGTGTTTAATATCCAAGGAAATTTCGTGACTCTGAGCGCAGGAGCACAAAAGGAGGTGAGACCGGCACGTGCCTGTCACCAGCATCCTGGCATTCAGGGCTGCCCTGGGAAGATGCTCGTGGAGCTCAGTGGAAGAACAAGCTCAGGAATGTTTTTTTTGGCTGCTCCAGTCCCAGAGTTGCCACAGCACGGGGGTACCTCTGTCACAGTGGGAGCAGCACAGGTTTTAATTTGGCCTTCATTGCTTGCCTCAGTTGGAGCAGCAGAATCCTGAAGGATTTGCAGCCTCACCCTGGGCTGAAGCTGTGTGAAATCTCCAGGAAAAGTACTTCTCAGGGAAACTGAGCTGTGGCAGGCAGCTGGGAGAGCTGGGGTGCAGGACCTGGGGTCACAGCCCAGGTGCCCCTTGAGACATGAGGCAGTTTTGGGCTTCGAAGCCATTTTTGTGCGTCGTGGGCCACAGGGAAGGGGAGCTCAGGGGGCTGCTCCCTGCGAGCGCTGTGGCTTAGACAGGGAAATGGGAGAAGCTCTTGGACCACGTTTCTCTGTCACAGCACATGAAGTGGGGTCCATGTAACCCATCAGCACCCCAAGTCCCATCACTGGCAGGTGGGGGCCAGGGGGGACCCCAAAGGTGGGACCACACAAGGGGCTCCCTGGGATGCAGTCCTGGTTAAAGGTGTGGGGGATACTGGGAGGGATGCCAGGGATGCAGGGTGGGGGTAAAGGGGGCACAGTGGGGCATCCTGGGGATGCAGGGTGGGGGTACAGGGGCCACTGGGAGAGGTCCCAGGGGTGCAGGGTGTGGGTCCAGGGACTCAGGGGGTACAGGGACTATAGGAGGTCATAGAGGTCCAGGGTGGGGACACCAGGGACCCAGAGGATACAGGGACAGTGTGGGGTCACAGAGGTGCAGGATGGGGACACCAGGGACCCAGGGGGTACAGGGACAGTGGGGAGTTGCAGGGGGGCAGAGTGGGGGGTCCCAGGACCCCGGGGGTACAGGGACAGCGGGGTGTCGCAGGGGTGCAGGGTGGGGACACCAGGGACCCAGGGTGTACAGGGACAGCGGGGTGTCGCAGGGGTGCAGGGTGGGGACACCAGGGACCCAGGGTGTACAGGGACAGCGGGGTGTCACAGGGGTGCAGGGCGGGTGTCCAGGGACAGGCACGGGGCGTGTTTCTCGCCTCCCCCCGCGGTGCCCGGTGCCGCCGGGGCGGGGCGGTCCCCGTGCCCTGCCCTGCCGCCGCCGGTGCTCCGGTGCGGGCGGGGCGGTCCGGCAGCGGCCGCGGGAGCGCGCCGCGGGTGCGCGCAGGGGCGGCCCGGCCGTGCGCGGCTCCGTCCGCGGCCGCGGGCGGGGGCGGGCGGAGGATCCCTGCGCCGCGCCGAGCATGCGAGAGCCGGCGGGGCGGGCTGCGGCGGGGCGGCGAGCCGGGCCCGCGGCGGCGGAGCCATGCTGCTGGCCTCGGCCGTGGTGGTGTGGGAATGGCTGAACGAGCACGGGCGCTGGCGGCCCTACAGCCCGGCCGTCAGCCACCACATCGAGGCGGTGGCCCGCGCCGGGCCGC